CCCCTCCCCTCCCTCCTAAGAGGACATTAGGCCACAGGTGACGTCATCTATCTGGCTCGCCACTATTAATCACAGTAATTAACTGATAATCAATTAATTGGTTTCTTGTTTTCTCCGGCCAGACCACAGCTGTTGTTGTTTTTGCTGTTGTTGCTGCTGTTTTTCTTGTTTAGTTGCTCTTGTTGCTGTTTTGTTGTTTTTGTTGCCGTTTGTTACTGTTTTTTGTTGTTGGTGCTTGTTGTTGTTTGTGGTGGTGGTGTATTGTAATTTTGTTATTATTCGTGGTGTGTGTGTGTGTGCACGCGTGTGTGTGTATTGTGTCCAGCACTTGATGGTGTACACCACTATTCCGGTTCTAGAGTCATTTCTGTCTCCGCTGAAAATACTTCCTTAAATTTCTTGTTGATCTCTCCACATACCTCTCCGTCGTTTGTTGTGATCTCTCCTCCTTCCTTCCTCGGCCTGATTACATGGTCCTTAACTGCTGTTTTCCTCCTGACGTGGCTGTACAACAGCTTTGGGCCAGATTTGGCTTTCGATGCTATGTCATTTTAATTTTGCCGCTGTGCCCCCCTCTTTATCTTTGCATATTCGTTTCTGGCTCTTTGACTAATTTCCCTATTTTCCTGGGCCCTTTGTCTTGTATACTTTTTTCCATTCTCTAGCGCACTTAGTTTTGGCCTCACTACACCTTTGGGAGAACCAAGGGCTCGTTCTGGCCTTCTCATTGTTTCTGGTGCCCTTGGGTACGAACCTCTCCTCTGCCTCCTTGCATTTCGTTGTCAAATATTTCATCATTTCACTTACTGATTTTCTCACCAGTTCTCTTTCCCACTGAACCTCATGCAGGAAATTTCTCATACCTGTGTAGTCCCCTCTTTTGTAATTTGTCTTCTCCCACCCTACTCGTCTTGCTTCCCTTTCCACTTGTAACTCTACTATGTATTCAAAGCTCAGGACCACATGATCACTAGCTCCGAGGGGCCTTTTACATACGACGTTCTTAGTGTCTGAACTACTCAAGGTGAATACTAGGTCCAGTCTTGCTGGTTCATCCTTTCCTCTCTCTCTCTGGTAGTGTTCCTAACGTGTTGGTGTATGAGGTTTTCCAGTACCACCTCCATCATTTGAGCCCTCCACGTTTCTGGTCCTCCATTTTTTTTCAAAATCTTCTATTGATTGAAACCACCCACAACTAGTAACTTTGCCCTACCCATGTGGGCCCTTCTGGCCTCCTCACCTAGTGCATCAGCCATTGCTCTGTTGCTCTCATCATATTCTTGTCCTAGCCTCCTGCTATTCTGTGGTGGGTTGTACATCACTGCAATCACCATCTTGGGACCCCCAGTCTGCATCTTCCTATATGTAGTCCCTCGCTGCCTCTCTGTCTCCTCCTTCCAACTCCTCACATCTCAATTGTTTTTTGATGAGCACTATAACTCCTCCACCCCCTCTATCTTTCCTCAGTGTGTGTGTGTGTGTGTGTGTGTGTGTGTGTGTGTGTGTGTGTGTGTGTGTGTGTGTGTGTACTCGCCAAGTTATGTTTATGTTGGGGTCGAACCTCAGCTCCTGGTCCCACCTCTTCAACTACACTCTCCAGCATTTTTGGTTAAAAGTTTCATTGGCATTATCATACCTACTCTTGAAACTGTATAATGAGTTTGTCGCTACCACTTCCTCTATACAGTTCGTTCCACTTATTCACCATCATAAGAATGAAACCAAATATTTTCTCACATCCCTGTGGTTCATCCGCGCCTTGGGCATCCATGAATGATCCCTCACCTCAGCGCCTCACATTCCAAAAATGTACAGCTGTATTGCTTTATTAAATTCTCTGGGTACCTTGCACATCATAATCATATCTCCCTTAGTCCCATCTTACACACCAGAAAGTTTAGCAGTGTGGTACTGATGCTGTCATGTCACCCATCAGAAGACCTGAATCATGTTACGGCTCCTTTGTTGCGCAGACAGTCCTAGGCTCCGGGACTCACTCTGCGATGACTACTGGTCTGAGTGGTCATTTCTCAGTGGGGAATGATGTGCTGGTAAGCGAGTACCCAGCTCAGGTTATGCCTGCTGTTGTAAGTGCTCTCGTCCGCAGGACACTTCTATAGGAGCCAGTGGGCTCAACTCGTGTCTCAAATGAGAGTCTAGTTCCCGAACCTGGTCACGTCGTTACTAATAGCGACTCGTGCAATAATAATAATAATAATAATAATAATAATAATAATAATAATAATAATAATAATAATAATAATAATAATAATAATAATAATATCTTTATTTCTACAAGTACGTGTACTTGGTATACAGGCTTAGCTGACATCAGTGACATACTACTATAAAGAAAGCCGCTTGTTATGCAGAGCATTTCGGGCAAATTAGGTCAGTTTTGTCCCAGGATGCGACCCACACCAGTCGACTAGCACTCAGCACGCCCATGTTTCTACCCTCGCTGGGAATCAAACCCAGACATCGCCGTGCGAAGCGAGAGTTTTAGCCACCAGGCCACGGGGCACCGTATATGAAGATGTTCGCAAACTCTTCCCTGAGTGTTGTACGAGATGGTAAAATCCATCTCTGTCGCTACTGCTACTGGCAGCAGTTTACGCCTCAAGCCCAACACCAATTTGGTGTATCTTGCTAACTGTTTTTATTGTGTCCCGGTCGAGGATGAGCTACTTCCTGACCAGTGGGGTGGTGTTGTGTCCATGGGATCGAAACCCTGGGAGAGTCCTTCCATTCTGTCAGTGAAAGAGAAACATCTGTCGAAGATTTTTCCAGAAGCAGTAAGTGAACTACTGTAGGTGTTGAACAAGCAGTATCATTAAGGAGTCAAAAAACGGGATTAACCAACCTAATTAGACACTATATCCCATTAGAATGTGTTGATAGGTCTGTGTACATACCTGTTTACACACTATAATATTCACAGTACGCAATAGAAGAGGAACTTGTCAGCAGGGTTCATCCTCAGAACTCTACTTTTTACACATTTTCTTTCTGACATTTGTTTTCAGATACTCATTCTTTGTCTCATTCCCATAAAGTACTCTCTGATCCACTGACGATCATTCCTTGTTATTCCTGCCTGCCCCTCAAGTTTTTGTCCAAGGCCCATGAGGTACAATATCAAATGCCTTCTTGCAGTTCAAGAATATGCAATCCACCCATCCCTCTCTCTGCTGCCACCACTCCAGTAGGTTTGTGAGACAATGTGTATCCTTTCTAAATTCATGCAAATGCTTCACCACTCTCCTGATTGTCTTCTCCATTACCACACATTGTTTGCCTGTCAGTGATACTGATCTGTAGTGTAATGGGTCTTGTTTAGCTCATTTCTTAAATACTGGGACTACATTCACTCTCAGATCTCTGGTAATTATTTCCTATCCACTGACTTGTAGGTTTCAGTTATGGGCTCAGGCAGTACTTGGCTCTCTCTCACACAATCCTCGGGTGACTTTATGTCGAGTCCCATTATTTTTTCCCCTTGTTGTACGTATGATGTCTGGCAATTGCTGGGTTATCTCTTTATCTGTATGATTGTTGCCTCTTTCCACTAAAAACACCTCTTTAATTTGAGTCCCTGCTGACTTGTCGCTTCTCATGGGCTTTCCTTCTTCAGACTTATCAGTTAAAGAGGTTGGATTTTAGTGTGATTTCAACATCAGTTAATAGGCTTGCCATAGTTTATTCCTTGGCGTAGCATTGAAAATGATTTTTACCTGGAGAGGGTTTCGGAGGTCAACGCCCCTGCGGCCCGGTCTGAGACCAGGCCTGGAGTTGGGCAAATATTTTTATTTGTGGGTTTGGGTTTGAGAAAGACATGTCAAGTATGGGACAGTAGGCCTGTTGCAGTGCTCCTCCATTCTTATGTTCATGTGTAATTACCTGGTCATTTACTGTTGCCTGTCCTTTGATGTGACTATGAAATATTTACGGTTCAGACTTGACTTTTGCTGCTACATCATTCTAACATGTAGCTCAGTATCTCTTTTCATCCTTGCATATTCATTTCTGGTTCTAACTTCTTCATTTTCTTTTGTTCTTCACTTCATATAGCTTTTCGTGCACTTGCAACTTTGCTCTTTCCTTCCTGCATCTTTGGTTGAGTCATGGGCTCTCTCTCTTGTTTTTCACTGTTTTCTCTATCTCCCGGCACTTTCCTGCTCACTGACTTCCCTTCCAGTTCACTTTCCCATTGTGGTGCATTCAGGAATTATCTCATCCTATCAAAGTTTTCTCTTCTGAAATCTGAGTTCTCCTCTCCCCCACCCGATATTCTCCTCTCAATATTTACTTCCACAAGGTATTCGAAATTTAATACTGTGTAGCTGGTAGCACCCTGAGATCTCTCATATTGTTTCATCTCTGTCAGTTGCACTTATGTTAGATACCAAGGCTACAAGAGTCTTGTCGTACCTCTTCTTTAAGCTATGTATGGATCCTGCCTCTGTCACTTCTCTCTCCAGTTTGTTCCTCTTCCTGGCAACTCTAAGGCTGAAGACATAATTCTTAACATCCCTTTGACCTATGTGAGCTTTCAACTTTCAGCTGTGCTTTCTTGTTCCTATTTCCCATCTCTGAAACATTCTGTCCCTCTTCACCTTACAATTTCTCTCAGTATTTTGTACGTCGTTATAACATCCCCCTAAGTCCTCCAGTGTCATCAAATTGAGTGTGCGTTGCGTGTGACTGATTATGTGTAATTTGTGAGTAGTGAGCGAGTGAATAAACGAATATATGACATATTTAGACCCACAGTTAAAGAAATATACACAGAATCAGTCAGAAATGGTCACGTTTACCAATGAAATCTTACGAATACTTCCTTCCCGCAACACTCCATATCAGTCATCACACATGCACTTCCATTTCGGCTACAAAATCTACACCAGAAAGGAACAAAATATTATTTTTGGGGAAGGTTTTGAGAGGTATGAGGGTGGGCAAGGCGATGCTCACTTCCTCCTTCACTCTCCATAATAACAGTGATGGCATCTCAGGTGGACGAATTTACTCTGGAGTCTGTGAGGGATTACATGATATCCCGGGGCGGGAGAGTCACCAACCACGAGCTGGTCAAGCACTTTAAAGTGTACTTGACGAATCCTACATGTAAAGGTAAGGAAATATGCAAATTATCCCGTAATGAGAGAATGAACGCCAATGTTTACATCGGTAATGTCACCTGTTGAAATCAGCTGATTTTCGTTTATTTTTGTTATTTTTGCTGGTGTATCTCTTTATGTGTGTTTAATGCCGGTGTTTCAGTGTTGCCTAAATTAGTTACCAACAGGAAAGGCTTTTGAGGAGTGTATTGCGGGCAGGCAAGTGTTAATTAAGGTGTTAAATTCCGTGGAAGTTCTTCCTGCTTTTGACGTTGATGTGTCACCGTTATTACTGACGCTTTAATGTCCTGTATATTGAGGTTTTCCCGACACATAATGGTTGAAATATATTTTTCTACACGTTGTTGGTTAATTAAGACCTGTGGGAGACTTAATGAGCAGTTGTTTTTGCATTTGAACTGTGTTTGTTGGTCAGATATCGTCAGCTCTAGGGTGTGTGTTGCTGACACACACCCTAGAGCTGAAAAAATAAATAATAAAGGTGTCTTTATGCTGGTGAAGGGCTCATGATCCAAGGAGCTGAAACCAGTCTTTCTTGGGCTCAGTTGACAGGTCACTGGCCTCTCACACTTGAGTGTCCAGGGTTCAATCCCCGGCTAGTGGAAACATTGGGTGTGTTTCCTTACACCTGCTGACACTGTTCACCTAGCAGTAAGTAGGCACCTAGGTGTTAGTCGACTATTGTGGGTTGCATCCTGGAAGACAAGCTTTAAGGATCCAGTGGAAATAAGACAGATGGTTCTCTATGCACTGACTTGAATGGGTTATCTTGGGTGGCTAACCCTTCGGGTTAAAAATTCGAACAACTCTTATCTTGCCTCCCATAGCTGAGCTTGTGTGTGGCCCTTAGAGGTTTAATGCATCTGTGAAATACAATGCTACTGCTACAGTTTCACTGTCTTACCTGTTCAAGAGGGTTTGCCTTGATTACATGGGGGACTCTTGTTTCAAGAAATTGGAGCTGACTGAAGCCAGACCTAATTGTCTTCCATGTGGTAGTGGCCTTGGTTCATACTGAAGAACTGGATATTGATACCTGGCATGAGTGGATGTGTTAGGCATATTTCCTCATGCATGTTGACGCTGTTCACCTGATCACACAAGTACCAGTTTGCCTAGGTACTTTGATGTTAGCTAACTAGTGTTAGTTGCAACTTGGGAGATTGGATTAAGGACCTCTAGTGGAAATAGTCAGTCTGTCTGATGGCAATGGCTGTATTGGATTATCCTAGGTTGTTGACCTTCCAAGTTAATAATCCGAACAAAAACTTCTTTTTCTTAATTTTTCAGGCAATGTATGATCCCTTTTGGTTTAGCCTTTCTTAGGACTAATAGTAGTAATAATTTACTGCCAAAAATTCAGATATTTTTCATAATAAGACTTATTTGCAAACTTAATTTTGCACCTTGTATATTGTCTGGGACATGGTAATGAAGCTAATTTTGTATCGATTTATATGTAGTTTCTTTATTTCCAATCACTGCATTACAAAATATATAATAATCAGAAAACCCATAGGATGCACACCATTAATGTACTTGCAGTAAAACCTTAATATAACATCTTTATTTCCAATCACTGCATTACAAAATATATAATAATCAGAAAACCCATAGGATGCACACCATTAATGTACTTGCAGTAAAACCTTAATATAACAGACCCCTAGGTGATGAATTTTGAATATAATGGACAAAATATTTGGCTGGATAAATATTCAATGCAACTATGTCGTCTGCATTGAGATTTTGTACATTAGTGGTAGTATGTATGTGTGTGTTCTGTAAGCCTCTAGTACAGTGGAGCATATCTGTTGCATCTCACATTTCTGTAAAATGGATTTTCACTTAAATGAACACTCTATTACCCCTATGAGTCTGTTATACTTAAAGTTTCACTGTATAGTATTCACAGTCTACCATCCATTTTTGATTGTGTGTGACTATAGAAGTAATTCTATATGGCTTAGTATTTTTTTGCCAGTTGCAAATCCATATGATAAAATAATATACATGTTTGTAAAATACATGTTGCTTGACTTCATTGGGATATTGCAAGTTTATTTGTGTATTGTAAAAATTTAAACTTATATTTGAAACCTAAATCAAATTTACCACACATTATTTGTCTACTGAAAAATTTCCAGTCACAGTGGCAGGGTACAAAGAAAATAAATTTTAAATTTGAGAACTATATTTAACCATTAAATTGTGTATATTAAAAAAATATTTATTAGTTACAGTTAGCTGTGCAGTAAATGGTTTTATAATTTAAAGACTGACCTTTTACCATGCATGTCTCCCATGCAAATAATCACTTCATACCTAAAATTGTAAAACAATTTTTTTTTACTGTAGACCACTTAATTTGCTTCTTTATTTACCTGATAAGCTGAAATTTCATGGAAAGAATTCCTTTCAGTGTTTTATTAAAGGATTCAGTTAGGAAAACTTCCTCTGAGATTCAATAAAGTTAGGTCAGGATTTATTTTTTCCTTAGATTACATAATAATACATGTTGTGACTAGGGAATATTACAACAGTATTTTATTTGTGGAGCTATGGAGCTAATATTTACACAGGCAATATATTTTTGAGCTACATATGAAAATATTTCAGTCACTAAAAATGCAACAATTATTTTAAGGAGTGACTAACAACTAACGGTTTTTTCTGATCATCAGTTAGTTTAGTGTATGTTTCTTGTTTTATTTGTGTTTTCTGTTACTGGATTAGTTTTTAAACACACTATCTCTTTTGTATCTCATACATGAGTGTCGATGTTCATAATTGGGCATTCATACTAATCACAGTAATATTTTTTCGTAAGTGATTGTACGGTATAAATTTTCTTAATATCTCTACTTAAAGTCCAGAGCTTAGATTATAAATTACATTTGAATTACTCAAGAATGTGTAACGTATCGCATTGTGAATGATAATAATAATAAATTAGGCTAATTACACGACTGAATTTGATTTATTAATCAAAGGAACAGTTTATTAGGAGGTTATGTATTAACAGAAATGATATACGTATATTTGTTGAGGTGCTAAATTATCATTATGTTCCGTACTGTGCATAACTTTTCTAATGGCATGATGGATTTGATTGAAGTAGAAAATGTAATTGTAGTGGAAGCTATAATGGAGGTAGGACTTACCGTTGAGGTACAGTAGTTGTAACTGGAGAGCTAATATTAATATTAGTAGTATATATGTACTGTGTTTATATTGATAGAACAAACATATTTAAAGGAAAAGGTTTTTAAATATATTTAATTAGTACTGATGTTTTTTATGTTTTATTTAATGATTTTCCTTTCCAGATAAGGATTTTAATGTGAAAGTTGCATGTTCTTGACTGACTGAAACTGAAAGTTTTATTCTACAGTATAGTTGTAACAGAAATGCAGTGCTGTATGACCCTTGTGGGCTTAGCATTTAGTTTTGATTGTAATAATAATATGGTATACATTATGGTATTCATAAACAACTTTAAATATTTTTAAAACATAGTTAAATGTTAATCTCTAAAGTGAAATAATCCAGCAAACAAAATTTCAAAAACCCAGGTTGCCAGTCACTGTCTGATCAATACTTTCCCTAACATCTTGTATATTTCTCCCTCTGTACCCACTAGCAATATGTTCCACGAGGAGTTCGTATTTAAATGGGAAGGAGGGAGGTACACATTCCTGAACCCAGTGGCTTCTGCACTCAAACATAGAATTAGATGAACATTTGGGTCTGTTGTACAACTAACTCATCTAGCAAACGTATACTGAATTATGACTGAGTTTTGGTCATAATTCGTTCCGGAAGGCTGTTCGAGTGCCATTACCGAACAAATTTGTTCCCATAAGAAATAATGTAAATTAGATTAGTCCATTTCAGACCCCAAAAAATACACTTACACAAGCACTTACGATGATACACTTACATAACTGTTTGAGTTGGGAGCTGTATGAGACTCGGGGTACCACTGTACTATAATATGATATGGAGAAGAGTACAGTGGTACCTCGGGTTATGAACTTAATTCGTTCCAGAAGACTGTTTGACTACCGATGTCAAATGAATTTGTTCCCATAAGGAGTAATGTTAATTAGATTAATCCGTTTCAGACCCCCAAAGATACATTTACAAAAATACACTTATATTATTGTACAAGTTGGGAGCTGGTCATATGCCGAGGTACCACTGTATTAGTAAAACTCCACTTTAATGACCCTTCATTTAAGGATTTCAGAAATAAGACAAAATCCACTTTGTACATTGATTTCAGAAACAGTGGACAAAGTCTGCTGGGTAGATAATTACATGTATCTGTTACTGTTGTGTGAGCATGACAAAACAATATCATCTATTGTATATAAAATAACTACTGCTTTCAACTTTTATTTCCAATGTTTATTACTGCATATGTGCAATTAGTATGTACAGTACCATTTTATGTATGCAGTAGAGTACTGTAGTGTTTATTTTTCTTATTTTTCCTCAGCCAGTCAGCATTACTAGACACCCTCTTCCCTGATTAGTCTGCTAAATTAAAGTTTTACTCCACTGCAAATTGTAACTCCTGAAGCTAAGCTAGTGTTAACACCATGATACAACATTGTACATGAGTCATGGTTCCTCAAACTTGACTTGCAAATAACAATACTGTATAATACTGTATACAAGTCTTGGTTTCAGGAACCAGGTATGTAGATAATGTTATAACATACACAAGAATTGAACCCACAGACCCAGCTCATGGGAAACACATAGCAGAATACAGTGGACCCCCGCTTAACGATCACCTCCCAATGCGACCAATTATGTAAGTGTATATATGTAAGTGCGTTTGTACGTGTATGTTTGGGGGTCTGAAATGGACTAACCTACTTCACAATATTCCTTATGGGAACAAATTCGGTCAGTACTGGCACCTGAATATACTTCTGGAATGAAAAAATATCGTTAACCGGGGGTCCACTGTATAAAACA